GATGACGCGTGCTTCGAGCGCCTGGTGGGTGCCCTGGCGTCGGCGCTGTGCCAGCTGCAGCTGCGCGTGGCCGTGGACCTGTGGAGCCGTCGGGAACTGAGCGCGCAGGGGCCCCTAGCCTGGTTCCACGCGCAGCGGCTTCAGACCCTGCAAGAGGGCGGCGTGGTGGTTCTGCTCTTCTCGCCCGGAGCCGTGGCTCTGTGCCGCGAGTGGCTGCAGGGCGGGGCGTCGGCGCCCGGGGCGCACGGTCCGCACGACGCCTTCACCGCCTCGCTCAGCTGCGTGCTGCCCGACTTCTTGCAGGGTCGAGCGCCCGGCCACTACGTGGGCGCCTGCTTCGACAGGCTGCTCCACCCGGATGCCGTGCCCACCCTTTTCCGAACTGTGCCGGTCTTCTCACTGCCCTCCCAGTTGCCCGACTTCCTGGGGGCTCTGCAGGCGCCCTGCACCTGCCGCCCCGGGCGACTCAGGGAGAGGGCGGAGCAAGTGTCCCAGGCCCTTCAGCCCGCCCTGGACAGCTGCTTCCCACCTCCGAGGGACCCAGGGCCGGGGCGCGGGATGGGACTTGGGGCAGGGGACGGGACTTGAATAAAGGCAGCCGCTATTTTTCTATCCACGTTGCCCACTGTTGTCCTGGCAGCATAAAGGCTTAGGCTGGCGAGCTGCCGTCCCTAACTCCATCGCCCTTTAAAGCGGGGACAGGTGCAGCCCGACGCCGCCTCCGGTTGGCTAGCGTGGGGTGACGCAATGGCACATGGCCCGCCGTCATTAGCGGAGGGCCAAGCCCCGCCCCCGGGCTGCGGCGCTGAGAGGGTGTACGTTTTACGCCGGCGGTGGCAGCGGCGGCGTAGAGGAGGTCGAACTGACGGCGCCTGCGGGCTGGGGCGGTCGTCGCTTCCTCCGCGGTCTACGCGGGTCTGGATCCTCCCCTACCCGCTCGTGGGCCGTACCTTTCCCTTGCCGGCAAGGCTCGGAACCTGACCCCGCTTCACATCCGGATCCGGGCTCCTCCCTCAAGACCGCCCATCCGGCCTCCTCTTTCCCAATACTTGGAATCTGACCCCTTCTCCATAATTCCGCTGATCCGGCCTAATAAGGGTTGTTAGAACCGTTATTCAGACCCTAAAACAATGGGCTGATCCCTGCCCTCTTATCGAAGATCCAGGCCACCTCCCCCACGGTAACGGGAGTAACTTATTTCCCTCCTAGAATCGCAGATTCGGTTCCTTTTCCCAGCCATCACCTGCCTCCGCAGGACCCGGGTTTGGCCTTTTTTACTTATGGAAAAGCAGATCTGGGCGCCTAGCCCTGCTACACCGTAGAACCCACCTTTTCCTTTCCTACCCGGAGCCTGGCTCCTCCAGCGAACCCTCCCCGCGCCTTCTATCTGCAGGCTGCCAGCCTGGGAAAAGATGGGTCCCCGGCCTCCAAGGGGCCTGGTCCCTGCCCTGCTCTGGAACCTGAGCCTCTTCCTCAGCCTCCCAGGTCCCGTCTGGCTCCAGCCTTCTCCACCTCCCCAGCCTTCTGCCCCACTTGAGCCCCATCCGTGTCATACCTGCCGGGGACTGGTGGACAGCTTCAACAAGGTGGGTGCACCAGTAGTTCCGTGGGAGGGGGGTTCAGCTACTGGAGCACAGTGGCTGAAAGTGGGGAGCTCTGGGGTGTAAATCCGCAGGGATTCAAGGCCCGCCTTGGTGACTTGCTCACTCTCTGTGCCTTGGGAGGCAGGTTGTCTCTCTGTGCCTGAGTTTTCTGGTCAGTAAAGGAGGGAAGTGCTAGAATGTGCCAGGCACTGTGCTTCGCTGGTACTAACTTTGTCTTATTTCCAGGGTCTGGAGAGAACCATCCGAGACAATTTTGGAGGTGGAAACACTGCCTGGGAGGAAGAGAAGCTGTCCAAATATAAAGATAGGTAAGGGACTAGAAGGGGGGGTCTGTACCCTACTTCTCAGTCTCTGATGTACTAGTGGAGGGCTTGGGCCGCTGAGGGAGCATTCATCCCTTCAGCCAATGCCGCTGAACACCTGTAATATAGCAGAAAACAAGGCCAGCGGAGGCCTGCATTCACGGGGCTTACCTTCTGTTGATAGCAGAGGAGGCAGGCAGTGAACAAGTAAAGGCACAGTACTGTGTCAGGTGAGGGACAGTAAAGTGTGGTGGCCTACAGGACTGTGGGAGGCAGGTGTTCAGGTGTGACATTTGAACAGAGACCAAAATGTAAAAGCAAGCAACATGACAGCCAAAGAAGGGAGTCAGGCAGAAGGTGGGATGGAGTGGTCTATTTGAGAAGCGATTGGAATGAAGTGAGTGAAAAGGAGGGCAGTCGAAGGTGAGGTCAAAGGCTCATGCCTTAAGGCTGTAGAAACGGTGACCAGCAGTTGGCGTAATGGCTATGTCACTGGACTCCCATGTAGTCAACCATGGTTCGAGTCCCGGACCTAGTGGCTTAAACTCACGCCAGGCACATGTACATGCATGCCCAAGATCCCGAAAGGAGAATGGAGGAGAAGGGATTGCAGCATGGCCATCCACCCTGGGGGATGATTTCTCGCTTTTTGTCTCTCTGTCTCTCTGGCGAGCGCACGCGCCCTATAGCAAAAACCTCTAAAAAAATAGAATAAAAAAAGGCTGTAGAAAGGAGTTGGGGTTTTGGTCTGAGTATAATGGGAAACTGCTGGAAGGTTCTGAGCTGGGGAGAGATGTGGTCTTATTTATAACTTTGAAAGCTCACTCACACTGCTGTTAGAAAACAGCCTCCAGGGAGCCACGGGTGGAGAAAGCAGAGAGAGCCGTGGGGAGGCTGATGCATGGTCTAGGCATGAAGGCAGAGTGAGCCAGTGTGGTACGTAGTAGCAGACACAGCGAGACGGGGTCACATCTTGGGGATATTTTGCAGATAGACTAATAGGACTTACTAATGAGGTCATTGTGGGATATGACAGAAACAGTCATATTAACGATGTTTCTTAGGATTTGCGCCTGAGCAACCGGGTGAAAAGTGCAGCTGTTTTCTGAGTTGGTAGGGCTAGGGGACGGAGAAGGCTTAGGGGAGGAGGAGGATCAGGCACTGCCCTTAAACATGTTGGGCTGAGATGCCCATTAGACATCCAGGTAGACCCTGTGCAAGCCTGGGGGTCAGGAGAGAAGTAGGAACTGGAAACAAGACGGGGAGAACCCTCAGCAGTCCATACGTAAAGCCATAGGGAGCAGCCAGTGACCTGGTGTTAGGGTAGCTGGAGTCCCTGTGGCTGACTGCATAGCTTGAGTCTTGGAAACCCCCTGAGGGTTTAGAAAAACATTCTGGTTGGATGGCATGCATGCCCCAGATCTTGGAAGATGAGAGAGATGGAGGAGAATGGATTGTGGTGTGACCATGCTCCGTGGGGGTACTTTGTCCTGCTATCTCTGTGTTTGTCTCTCTCTGGTGACACCCTCTGGCAAATTAAAAAAAAAAAAGAAAAGAAAAGTGGGCCTGGCAGGTGGCTTGGTGGTTAAGATGCTGGACTCCCACATGGCCAGTTCGAATCCCAGACCCACTGGCTTGAAACTCGTGCTGGGTGCATGTGCATGTGTGCCCAAACTCCCAAGAGGAGAATAGAGAAGGGATTGCAGCGTGACCATCCGTCTTAGGGGTTGATTTCTCACTTTCTCTCTGTGTGTCTCTCTGGCAGCAAGTACATGCACCCCTATAGAAAAAAAAAAATATATATATAGTAATAAT